ACCCAGCCTACTTTTGTTTTTTTGAATACCGGTGTTTGACATTTCTCCATTCACCTTGGTTTAATATGGAAGTATTCGTGTTTTAGTTTTAGCTTTCGGATATATATGTATGAGTGTGGTATGCTGCCTAATGAATTAGATGTTGGTTCTGTCTTTACCAAAACTGGACGAAGAGCTGGCAGATGCAAAAATCAAGTGACCCAGCAAACCAGACACATTTTCTTTTCTCAGCTAGCTTACCACCTAGAAAGACTGGTTGTCAAAGTTGAAGTTCAAGAATCACGGAGGATGTTTAAAATGCAGTTTCTCAGGTTCTCACCACCCACTATAAGTTTCGATTCATTGGTTGGTAGGAGAGGGCAGAGATATTTGCAATTTTAACAGCATCCTCTTGATTGTGATGCAGCTGATTCACATTTTGAGAAACTGTACAAATAGGTACCCTACAGAAATGACAGGTGTTAAATTTAGGATGGCCATCGCTTGTACGCCGGGAGAAGCCCACGCTGGGCCCAATTTATATAGGGGTTTTCATTGTCAGCTCAAGAGCAGCCTCAGAGCCCAGATAACCTACGCCAGCACCCGGAGCGGATTCCGCCAGGTGGGAAAGGCCAGGTGGAGCGCTGGGTCCTTCCCGCAATTGTGGCTCCTGGCCGGAGGCTCCGCCCCCTTCCTCTTGGCCCCTCCCCTCTCCGTGGCCCCCCCCCTCCGCCCAGCCAACGACGCCACGACCGGAAATGACGACACCGGTGAGGGCTTTCGGGCGGGGCCTGGGACAGGCAGCCCAGGGGTCCGCGGTTTCACATCGGAAACAAAACAACGGCTGGTCTGGAAGGAACCCGAACTGCGAGCGGAGGTGGCGGCAGCAACGGCGGCGGCAAAGAAGCGTGTGTGCGTGATGGGGAGTCCGGGGAGAGAGGAAGGCGCCGTGGATATGGGCGGCCGCGGGCAGGGCCCGGCCCTTTGTCGCTGCCCTGGCCGCGGAGCCGGTGTCCTGACGGATGAGGGGCGGGGTGCGGCCGGGTGGGCCGGGGAACCCCGCGTGGGAATCCGGGAGGGGCGGCCCATTTCTCGGGCTTCGGGCGCGGCGGGCTGGAGAGAGAGTCCGCGGAGCCTTGGTGCGGAAACGCTGTTTGCTGAAAGGCGTCTCAGGGCGCAGGTGCTTTGGGCCGGGATTAGCCGTCTGGGCTGGAGTGGAGCCGGAGAAAGAGGAAGCGTCCTGGGCTGGGTCTGCTTGAGCAACTGGTGAAACTCCGCGCCTCACGCCCCGGGTGTGTCCTTGTCCAGGGGCGACGGGCACTCTGGGCGAAGTCCGCACGCCTCTCGTTCGAGGCGGAAAACGGGGTCTGATGCTTTCTCCTTGGTCGGGACTGTCTCCAGGCATGCGTGTCCGGTGCCTCTTGTGTTTGCTGGGGCTTCCCTCTCAGGTTCTTCTCACCGTGTGGTCAGCTCTGCTAGGCACATTAATCTGTAGTGACGGCTGGGATGGGTGAGAGAATTGAGGTAGCTTTTCCATAACTCGGGTGAGATTGATTAGAGTTCGATCTGCGGTGGTGGCAGAGGCTTAGAAGAAACACGAACGGGACCTGGCAACCAACTGAGGATCAGGGAATAAAGTGTAAAGTTGATTAGGAGGTTTTCAGTTTAGAACATGACAGAGACATTCTCAGAAATAAGGAAGTTAGGAGGAAGGAACTGGTTTAAAGAGGAGGGCGAGAAGTGGTTTGGAAGTGTCACTTTGGACGTGCCAGCAGGTGAAATTGTCCTGTGAACAGGACTGGAGCTGTAAACGCGAGTCAATTCCATAGATTTCCAGTTGATGTTGGAGCAGTGAAGGAGAAGTCTCACGTTAGGAAGGGGAAGAGGAGGCCAAGGCAGGCACTTAGGAACACTTGTAACGAGGGGGTGGAAGAAGAGCAAGGAGCCAGCTGAGGAGAACGAGTGTGGTTGAAGAACCACCACAGTGCAGGGTCACCAGAGCTGAGGAAGGAATGGAGGAAAGCTTCAGGAAAAGGTTGGCGGGGATTTTGAGTGTTAGGTTTGGTGTAGCGGAAGGAACCGAAGATTTAGAGCAACACTAGCCAATAGAAATATAATGTGAGGCCCGGCACGGTGACTCACGCCTGTAATCCCAGCACTTTGGGAGGCCGAGGCGGGCGTATCCTTGAGCTCAGAAGTTCGAGACCAGCCTGGTCAACATGACGAAACCCCGTCTCTACAGAAAATTAGCTGGGCGTGGTAGCGCGCACCTGTAGTCCCAGCTGCTCCCGAGGGAGTGAGGCAGGAGAATCGCTTGAACCCAGGAGGAGGAGGTTGCAGCAAGCCAAGATCGGGCCACTGCACTCCAGCCTGGGCAACAGAGAGAGAGACTGTCAAAAAAAAAATTTTTTTTTTTCTTTTGGAGAAAAGGCATACAGATTTATAGCGTGCACTTTGGGAGAACCACAAGGTGATTATCCCTATTTTAGATTTTGTAATAAACATATTATTTAGAGACGGGAGCCTCACTATGTTGCCCAGGCTGGTCTTAAACTCCTGGACTCAAGTCATCCTCCTGCCTTAGCCTCCCAGAGTGGTGGGATACAGGCACTATCCACCGTGCCTGGCCATAAACACATATTTAAAGGTAAAAAGAGGCTGGGCGCCGTGGCTCACACTTGTAATCTGCCTGCACTTTGGGAGGCCAAGGCAGGTTGACCACCTGAGGTCAGGAGTTCGAGACCAGCCTGGCCAATATGGCGAAAACCCGACTGTGCTAAAGATACAAAAATTAGCCAGGTTTGGTGGCATGTGCTTGTAGTTCCAGCTACTCAGGAGGCTGCGGCAGGAGAATTGCTTGAACCCAGGAGGTGGAGGTTTCAGTGAGCCGGGAACATGCCACTGTACTCCAGACTGGGTGACTGAGCGAGACTCCATCAGGAGGGGGAAGAAAAAGTAAAACAGGTGAAACCAATGTGAATAATTAATTTTAACACAATATACCTAACATTTTGATTTCAATATCTAACCAGTAAGTATAAAAATTTACTTGTCTTGCCCTCTAGCTAGTAAGCTTACTATCTTACTTTAGAAGATATTGCTTCTAAAGTAAATTGAAGCAATATCTGATTCAGTAGAATTCCCAATCCCATCACAGTGTGTGGTTATATAGAAGAAACCCAGTAAGTGTTGATTGAAAGACACTAATACTTGGGCCAGGCGCGGTGGCTCACGCCTATAATCCCAGCACTTTGGGAGGCCGAGGCAGGTGGATCACGAGGTCAAGAGATCGAGACCATCCTGGTCAACATGGTGAAACCCCGTCTTTACTAAAAATACAAAAAATTAGCTGGGCATGGTGGCACACGCCTGTAGTCCCAACTACTCAGGAAGCTGAGGCAGGAGAACTGCTTGAACCTGGGAGGCGGAGGAGATGGTGCCATTGCACTCCAGCCTGGGTAACAAGAGCGAAACTCCATCTCAAAAAAGAAAAAAAAAAAAAAAAAAGATATTAATACTCCTGCTTGGGTGAGAGAGTGAGAAAAAAGATATTAGTGTTTGCTTTTTGCAATGCCTTGTGTAGTTCTTAAGTTGATCAAAGCAAAAGACAGACTGCAGGCAATTCTAAATATGACCAGTGATTTACAAATTAATTAGATGTAAATAATCATTTTTTCATTAAAAATTAGTTGTATTCTATTTCCACAGAGAATTTTAGAAAATGATTTTGAGTAATCATTCCTCCCTTATAGAGTTATTGAAATTAAATAACTTATTGGGAAAGATTTTTTTATAATTATACAAAGGCATGTAGGATCATAGTCTCATATCTGTAGTTCTGAAGTCCAAAAACTCACGAAAATCAAAAGGTTTTTCATAACTAATTTGACAGCAAAATCTGGCCTAGTTATAGTCTTTATTTTCTTTTTTTTAATTTAAAAGCATTTATTTCACTATAGTGAAATAAAACTATAAATAGTTTTTATAAAAACTATAAATAGTGATTTAAAACTATTCATTTATTTCACTATAGCTTAATAATGGGTTTGCTTTCCTGCTTCTATGATGTAGGGGCATTATGTAACATCTGGTATTTGCATAGTACCTTTACAAAAATCCCAAAAAAATCTGAATACTAAACACATTTAGCCCTAAAAGTTAAAGATAAGGGATTCTGGACTTGCATTCTCAGTCTTTGTTCGTTTTTATTGCATTTTCTGAGCCAACATAACCATTTAAAAACAAGTTGCTATAGTAACTCTACAGACCTCCCCCAAACTCAGCGGCTCAGAGCATGTATTCTCTCTCAAGGTTCTGCTTCAAGGTGTAGGTCTGTGGATCAATGGGGGCAGTTCTTATTTGTATGTCTTATTCTGGGGCCCAGGCTGAAGGGGCAGTGGCTCTCCATGGTAAGCTTTTCTCCAGGCAGCAGAAGTACAAGAAGGCAAGGCCAATTCCACAAGCATAGTTTAAGTGTCTGTTTATGTCACATCTGCTAAGATTGCATTGACCAAAGCAAGTCATATGATAATGGCCAAAGACTTAGGAGTGGGTAGTAGACTGCAACCACCATGCAGCCAAGCAAACTACAGAGCCAAGCTTGTAACATCACTGAAGAGTGGTGTATTCCTCTCTTGGCCAGGCTGGGGGAGGGAGTGAATATTTGCTGAATAATAATCTAATCTACCACAGATGGTTAACAGAGGTGGAGTGGGATGGAAGGAGGAAGAAAAAAAATCACCAAATGGGATGTATCACTACCCTTGCTCATTTTAGCGTCTGCTGCGTGTTCCCAAAGCCTTTTATAGGGCTGGAGAAATGATTAGCTCCTAGTCTCTGAAAAACCAGAGGAGTCTTTTGAGGATGTATTCCTTAAGTTTTAAATTAGTTGAAAAACATTTTAAAATTAATTTCAATTATAGGCTGGGCACAGTGGCTCAACCCTGTAATCCCAGCCAAGGTGGGTAGATCACCTGAGGTCAGGAGTTTGAGACCAGCCTGGCCAACATGGTGAAGCCGGTCTTTACTAAAAATACAAAAATTAGCTGGGCATAGTGGTAGGCGCCTGTAATCCTAGCTATTCGGAAGGCTGAGGCAGGAGAATCACTTGAACCTGGGAGGTGGAGGTTGCAGTGAGGCATGATCAGGCCATTGCACTCCAGCCTGGGTGATGATGGAAAACTATGTCTCAAAAATAATGATTTCAATTATAGGTTCCAGTTTAGAGTTTGGTTACATTTACCTTTAAAAACTTAAGTAGAGGCTTTTCCAGCCCATTCATAAAATCAGAACTTGGGCTGCCTGTCAAGGGAGAAGCTTTCCAGATAACACTAAGCCTGATTAAATACTTTTGTAAAATAAAGAATAAATCGTAAGCTCATTTGACACTTGAAAATTTAGCATCCCAATGCAGATGTAGCAGAAAGTACTTGTAGCAGTTTTCTAAGTGAAAGAGAAACTAGTCAGGGGGGCAGGGAGTTGGGGAGAGAGCATGGGGAGAAATGCCAGATACAGGTGAAGGGGAGGAAGGCAGCAAATCACACTGCCATGTGTGTACCTGTGCAACTATCTTGCATGTTCTTTAAATGTACCCCAAAACCTAAAATGCAATAAAAAAAAAAAAAAAGAAAAAAGAAACTAGTCAAGTAGCTTAGAGACATTAAAACAAGCCACAAGCCCTTTATGCTAGAAATCATGGTTAAAAGTCCCCTGAAGATGTTTTTCTACAGTACAAATTTTATTTACATTTATGTCAGAGTGAAAAACGAAATTGTATCAGTAATTAAGTAACTGTTCTGTAGGAGTTTGAGGTTTAGTTGTTACACTGGGATGTAGTAAGAGAAAAAAAGTATTAATACTTTTCTGTTGGTAGTTTCTTAAATGGGGTTTTTTTTTTTTTTTGAGACTGAGTC